AGCTCACTAGTGATTTAAATCACAATTTAGTAAAAAGTGATGTGTGAAAGTTATGGCGCGAAAACAAGCAAGATGCAAATTAGCACTGTATGGCTGCTGCTCTACCGTTTAACTCTTAATACTGTATATTATATATCCCCCATTATATAAGATGCTCAGGACTCAGCACACTTCATTTCACCTCCCTCGAAAAACTAATTGCAGGCAAACTCAGTTTGTCCATATAAGGCACGGGAATGCAAGTAGATACCTTTGTTCTGGCAAGAGAGAGAGACGGTATGCAAGCTGCAACGTCAGCAAACAGTTGCAAGTGTGTGAACTACGGCATGAGCTTATCCCCATATCAGAACAATAGCAGTGCTGTATTAACCTTTTTCGTCATTACTCACGACATCATCATTACGTCATACATTCTCTAGATACTACACAAAGAATGGACAATCTAAACCTTGTTATACTAGACAAGGATGAGAACCAACAGGAGAGGAGTAGTAATGGCATTGAAGTGACATATTTTGAAACTGAACTACAAAAGTGTGCTGGTGACAAAATATAGCATACACTTTACATTGGGGTCGGGGTATGCATTTTACATTAGGGTCAAGGGTTTGCAGAGTGCTTTGTGCAAGCTGCATACAAAGACATGCTTGTCCTTGTAATAGCAAATGAGGCTTTAGGACAGACAACTGAAAGAGCAGCCACTACTGATGAGAAGAAGGATACAAGTTACATGCAGAGTAGGTCGGACACAGTCACGTGAATAGTACAAGAATTTCAATTAGCGCGTTGAGGAATGCACGACCTTCGACGACTTGCTCGACCTATGCTTAGTTTGTTGACAACACAGACGGAGAATTTGCTTGAAACCACATTCTTTACGGGAAAGAAATTGCTGTGCCAGCATAAATTTCATTTACAATGACGCAATCCCTGTGCATGTCCGACCTCCTCTGAGTTACATATACACCAAGACAGTACTGCTTGAAGACCCTGATCATAATCCGCGTTGCTAAATTTATGATTATGTCATAAAGCCGAAAATGGCAGAGTAGTTGCTAAAAATAGTAACCAGTGAGGTTAAGCCCTGGTTCTCTCCCAGCCACCAAGGAAGAGATGGAAATGAGTCCACAATGGGACAGACCCACTACAACGATATAGGCCTCCACTACTAGTGTGTAGTCATATCAACACAGTCTCAGAGTCCCCTCAGTGTAGCACCATGGAAAAAATGGCCTCCTTACAATGACACTAGCACATGATCAGGAGTGTGCTGTACTTCCCTCTGCCTCACAAGAAGTATTGAGCAAAGTTGTATTACTAGTGGAAATGCTTGGGAGAGAGGAGCAAAGTAGCGTTGTACCTGGAGAGCTAGTACGCACTCCAAGTGGTCCCTACCAACTAGTTGAGGCTGAGCACTGCCGCAGAGATTTGACTGGGTGACCAAGTGGCTCTACAATGATGTGAGAGACTGTTTGAGCGATGCCTCCACTTCCTGGCTAAAGAAGAAACAAAGCCCCAGATTTTTGGTCCTAGTTTTGGACATTCCCCTGATGGAATGAGTTCCCCTGGTGGTACAAATGGCAAATGGTAAACTCAATGCCATCATGGCAGTGGAATCCACATGGCCACGGACTAGGTCTTATTCTGCACCACATGGAAATCTAAATCGCATCACATCACATGGTCTATAAACTGCATGCTGTACCATGCTATAGGTACATACACATACGCACAGTACACATGTAGTTTGTGGTTGGGCCAACTCCTTTGGCAGGACTGGGCTAGGCTCATCAGCGGTAAAGGACAAACACGACAGAACACTGCCTTTTGCTGTACTAGAGGAGAGGTCTACATGTGTATATACCCTACATGCACTTACAGGTCAGAGTACGATAGTACATTACATGTGGAAATGGGCTGGCAGTCAGAATGGCTCCAAACGAGTGGGCTCTAGTTGGGGCTATAATACCCAGTCTGCCTAATATGGTACGCACACTTGCCAGGCACGCTAATGGACGAAACAGCAAAGTACATTTTGATGGCAACAGAGTACATAAGATTGCCACAAGGCCAAGATATATCGCCTTAACATGTGCGTTGTACGCAGACTATCACCCACAATCCTTGAGTAGTGAACAATGGAACCCCTCTCTCTCAGGACACCATAACACATTCTCAAGGAACAATTCATGAATTCCTCACTAACACTATGGACTCGTTCTTCTGTCCCATTTTAATGAGAAGGGTTCCACATAAGAAACGACACGCGTGTATTCACAGACACATGACAATGGTGGAGGAGTAGTAAGGGGAGAAGGGGGTGGCCTGACCTGATAGAGAGAGAGTAGTCTGTACGACAACTCTTGCTGTTCCTGACTAGGAAACTAAAGTCTCGTTTGCTGGCCAGAACTGCCTCTGCCTCTGCTCTGGTGATGGCCCCATGGTACCACCTGCAGTGTGTGTGTGTGTAGAGAAAATAGAGTCAGTATCATGAATTTGTGTTCATATGAGATTGTAAAAAGACTGGTCTCCATATAGTCTTACTCGGTCTTGTGCAGTCTGCAGCGGTCTGGGGAATAGACTACGTTTCTATTTCAAAGACCCAGAATTGCGTGGTCTAATGGGTCGTCGTAATGGGTCGTCTTGCCAGTTCAGTCAGTGTTTCCATATCTTATGTTCAGACTGCACAAGACTGAGTAAGACTACATAGAGACCAGCCAGTCACCACAGTGTGTGTCAAAGAACATCAAAGTATTTTGGATGGTCACAAGAGGAAAGCAAGTGACAAGGGACATCCCCTGATATTCAACACTAATTACCACACACTCGAATAATCAGCAGCCGGCTCAAAGACCATGTGTAAGTACATTAATCCCACATTTGCACATGCCTGCACATCCACTAGATAAACACAGCGGCCATTGCTCAAAAGGATAGCATGCCATATGACTCCACAATGAGACTTCCATTTGTGGCAGTATGAGACGATGACATCAGGAGCTCATCATACAACAAGGAGAGAGCAAGGGCAAAGCAAATGCAAGAACACAACGTTTGCACATTATGTACATGATTTTCATCACATGTATGTGTGCGTTAGCCAACGGCGGCAAAATGCATAATTTCGACAAGGTCGGCCTACTTTGCTTACAAACGACTTCTGCATATTGCCCTAACCAAATGGAATGAAGGACCACTTGACGACACACAGACAAGCAGGTAGTACACTCCCTGCACGTGCAACTACAAAGGTTTATTGGTGAGACGACGCAAGTGCAAAATACCCGTTTTACAGGTAATTAAGATTACGTAGAGCATCACAGCATGGACAGTGCCGAAACAATTTAGAGATGTAGATGACCTTGGTTCACTCGCCAATTACAGTTTGCTAAATGGAGCACACCACTGATCAGCAAGCAACACTCCATCCACTAGGCAGTAACTCAATCACGTCCAACTATATCATATCATCCTCGTCCAGCAAAAACATGCACCCAAACCTTACACGCAGACAACCAGCAGCAAACACAGTGTCTTATTCCAGTATAGTAGAGAGGTCTCCCTCTCTTGGGTGCTGACAACACTGGTTGGCCCACCGCACTCCACGTGGTGGACTTATATGGAACCAATCGTATCCCATGTAAAGAATGTGAAAGTCAGCGTGTACTGGGACTGCCACATACCGAAACAGAGCACGTCTACACACACACAGTCAAGGTGTGTGTAAGAATCACTCAAGACAATCCACACATGTAATTGCGTGTCCCATGAGTATTACTTCATGTACACCCTGCATTGTAGTCACACAGACTGTATAGCAGCATAGATGTCGAGAGTAGAGGATAGGAGAGGAAGGTGGTGTAGGAAGAACGGAGGTTGTTATAGGTCAAGCACGTGCATGTCTATACATTGTGTATACTGTATACAATCTATAGCCATGTAAAGAAACGCAAGTCGGTACAGCATTCCAAATAGTCCCTGTCAAATCAGCATCCACAAACAAAGGCTGTCACCACCAGCCACTGTGTGGCCAGGACTGTAGACTCAGGCAATACTGGAGGTGGTCTTTAGTACGCTAACAGAGAGTCCCTCTACAGCAGGAACCACGGTATGGGGATGTTGGCAACATTATCACTCCAGCAGTCAAGAATGGGAGGATAAGGAGGACGAAATGGAGTGAGGGAGTGAGGGAGGGAGGGAGAGACGCGGTTTAAGAGGAGGCTGCGCGCGATAAACATTCCTAAGCTGTTCGCGCTTACAGTTATAATGTAATCAAGCTGCACAAGGGGAAGAGGTTCTAGCTGGTGTGCAGGTGAGCCAACTTACTATTCCTTTTATTGTGTAAGTATGTCCCAGGAGTGCACCACATGCAGAATACTCTTAGCCTCAGCAAACCCAGGCTGCAGCTATTGATAAAGTGCTGAATCAGCAGGCTGACTGGAGCATGAACTCTAGATCACATAAGAGGCAATGGGATTGCATGCAAAACCTCATCTGGAGAGAGTTTGTGTCATTCTCACTGTCAGCACTATCCTACAGCACTATTACCTACAGCAGCACACACTATATACAGTGGTGGTGGTATGTGTGCATCCTGGATGTGGGCACTGTTTACAAAATAGGCAGTTGCTGTGGCTCAAGTGATGATGAGATCAGAAGGCATGATGTAAGACATCAGCTGCTGATACACCACAATCTGTGGTCTACTTCAAAGGGTGGGGGTCTGTGCATGTGGCAAACAAGCATGTGATGAAGCTGTGTGCGCTGTGGAAGGCTGCATCTGGAATTTGAGTGTACACAACAGGGTCACCTGGTGAGCTGAGTCTGACAAAATTTTCAGTGCCTGCACTTCCCTTATATGACCCTAATCTACCCCAACAGGGTACATTCCACACTGCTGAAAAAAACACACACATACATACACCGCCCATGAACTGGCTCCACCCGTGTGCACGCTCTTTAAAAATAGAACCTGCTGCTTGACCTTGGTATGATCATTAACATGCTAGCAACAGACAGACTTATTAATTGTGGACAAAGTGTGTACCTTGATACAAAGCATTCTGGCGAGCAAGTGTGAGTAGTTAAATTTTTGCACATACGCAAAACTGAGCCATGAAATTGATTCTACAGACACCATAAGCAGGAAGACACCAACAACATTTCTCACTCCTCATCACACAAAAGACACTCCTCCCTCCTTCCCTTCATCTCACTCCTAATTGAACCCATGAATTCCTCATCTGCCCGGGGTCACTACCACCATGCAGATACCTCCGTACACTGAAAGATTTAACCCCCTTTCACCCTCCCTCTGATCAATACTATATCATAAAAAATAAAAGTGTATCCAAAAAAAACTTTCAAAAATGCTCCCTCATTTGAATTTCATCCAAGAAATATATGTTATGTACTACGTGCTAGGGACATACTGGATTTCAATGAACCCGAGGGCCTCCGCGTTTGTAGTGTCCCGAGGGCATGCACTACGCGGATGGCCCGAGGGTTCATTGAAATCCGGTATGTCCCGAGTATACGGAGTACATAACATGTTTAGTGCAGAGCAAATCAGCTCCGTATACGCGCACTGCGTTTCCAAGCACAGGGAATTTGAAAGATGCGAGAAAGAGACGAGAGCGCAAGACCGTCATCTCGTGCGGGACTATTGAACGCCGAACGCTAGGATACGCTGCTCCGCCGCTCTAGCTACTCCCGCTGCGGGACTGTCCTCCGCCACTCATCCGAAGAAACGCGACAGGAGACCTTCGTGAACCATCGCAATCAGAGAGAGGCGAGTTCAGGCGCTGTGCGGGCTGCTATACCGAAGGCGTTCGCCGTCGACTTAGTAGCTTTGTCGCGCGCACCCGCTCGCGGAGCCCCACCCCCTTATTTGCGTGCGGTGGTTTGTGGCGGGCGTGAGCTGCCTGGCTATCTACTATGTATATACATGGCAAGGAGCGAGATGGGCTCAAAGCAGACACAGAAAACTGTCTCGTGAAAAAGAAAATCAAGATATCAGTTATTTTGATCAACATTTTGTACAGATCATGTTTTGCGGGATACATTTCTTACATGAAATGCTGTTGAACTTGTTGAAAATCAACAGAAAAAACAAGGTTTCATATCATATTTTCATGTTACTTTTGTTAGCTCACGAGGTTCATATGAGAAATCAGGAACCTCGTACTAACAAATCTGATTGGTCGATTCGAATCAGCTATGCACCAACTAGTCTTATCCAACATTTCCCCCTTCCGATGTACTCTAGCCTTCCTTTGTCTGCCTCAACGATGCTGTAAGTACAACTCCACTCCTGGCTAAAGATTGCCTTTGGATACTTATCACCTGTCATTACCTTATACCACCACTAGCCTTATCTCTCTGACCTTGCGATGTATCTAGCTTCATATCTCCAAAAGCACCCAAGCTTCGCCCAACCCAACATGACAGACTCCAACCAATGCAGCTGGCTGTGTCTTGTGCCTTCCTATACTTAACACTCATACTCCAAGAGTCTAAAAGTGACCATTATAATGACGGATTGGAAAATAGAGCCCATCACTTCTCCTAACATGTCCTGCTAAAGTCCAGACAGAGGTCAAAAAACCCACTGGTGACTGCATGCTAAGAGCTGCTGCTTCACTACTGTAACAGTACAGTGATGTACTGTAAACTCTTGCTCTACTGCTATCATCAGGTCAGCTAGCAAAAATCTTAGAAAAACCCTTCTAAGATCTCTCTGCGAATTTTAACAAACTCTACCAACAAACTCACTCAGGTATATAAACACAAGAATAACGCTTTACCATTATCTAAAGGTTCAGGAGGTGGCTTTCGAGGTGGTGCCCTGCGAAGTCTGTGAGCTAAGACCTCTTCGCCCTCTCTTCTAGAGAGAGGAATGAAATTTTGCAATTGTCGTTTTTTTGGTGTTTTGTTGTATATTATTACAAGTGGAAAATCATTTCTTCAAAATGAAAGGGGTATATAGGGATGGCTTGAAGCACCAAAAAGGAAGAAACCAGGGGTCATTACACAGCAAAGTTGCACAAAGTTACATGACACCATCCCTATATCTTTGTCTCATAGTAAACTTTACTTGTGAACTATATTATATAACACAAAGATATAGGGATGGTGTCATGTAGCTTTGTGCAACTTTGCTGTGTAATGACCCCTTGTTTCTTCCTTTTGGTGCTTCAAGCCATCCCTATATCCCCCTTTCATTTTGAAGAAATGATTTTTCCACTTGTTTCCACTATTTTTAACAGCTTTTGGCATTTATTGTTACAGTCACTCTGATGTTCATGGCTATGTTGTAGATAGGCTACCATAGACAAATTGTAAGTAGTAGCTAATGGGCTGCTAGATACCATGTATTGTCTTCAACAAGGATGTAATTAGATTATTGCACATGGTTGTGGTTTCATTGGCAGGCTTTGGTAATCAGGCTACAACCTGGGGGGACAAACAATGAAGGCCGATTTGACTGAGTGCCCCGCAAGGCTAACACCGCGCAGACTCTGGCAAGTTGCTCTTCATGCAAATGAACAGCAAGATAGCCAGTTGGAAATTTGCACACTTACTTACAGAAGGTACTGGAGGCTGACAGTTCCTCTGCAGGTCTGCCAACTCGCCCGGTAGAATACGTTCGCAAGCACATTGGACAACGCCCCTGCCTGGCGCATGCGCGCGGATCACTGATGCTGAGTAAGCAGCAAATGGCGTTGTTCAGGTCGACCAGGGAAGAGCTCCATGATCTACCGTAGTGACTAGCGGCAAGAAAGAAACGATCGCTTGATGTCCGTGCACACCTCCGGCGAAATTGGAGACCTTCAGTGAAAAAAATCAGTGCTTGAACTGGTACTGGTAAGGAGATAGCGGGTTTTAAAGAAGAAGAAGAGAAGAAGAAGAAGCGAAGAATATGATGACACGAAAATCGTGAAATCGCGTATGAGCGAATTCTCGCGTGGACGACTGAAGGTGCGTATGAGCTCTTGGGGGACATGTATCGGTAGATATGGTGGCCCGTAAGACTATTGCTAGTAGGTTTTTGAAGGCCTAGGAAGTGATTCTCACCGAGTTTTTAGTCGTTTTGTACGCGGATCACGTGAGATTCACCCGTCTCATCCCTATATAGCTAGAGAGTCTACCGACTCTCTAATTCCTTCTTCCGTGAAAAAAAACAATCGTCTGTGTAGCTAGCTGCGCTTTACACACGGTGCGTGGTTGGCCAGCCCGAACGATCGCTGCCTCCATGCCAGCTGCCTGGTGGACCACGACAGACGAGCTGAAAGCGTAAGGTACGTAAGTACCGTTCTGCTCACCTGCTCACCGTTCTGGCATACAGCACGCATGTAACGGCGACAGGTAGCTCAGTCTTGCTTCACGAAAGGGAAAGCTGTGCGCTGTAGGCACGTTATGCAGACCGAACGTCGAGGCCAAATCCCAAGTTGGGTCGCTCCCGGCCTCCCGCTCACCAACATAAACTAACGTAGTGCGCAATGAGCGCGCGAGAAGTCGCTCTGGTATAAAATTCACCGCTCAACTCAAACCTGTCCATAAAGTAAGGCTGAAATCAATTATGAGTGGAAGTTCAGCAGTGAGGAGACTGCTGCCTGTCTCAAGGAAGCAGTTGAGGAGATCGTGGAGGTACATCAACGCTGCAGTCTCACCAGTCCACTTCAATAATCCGTCACCTCTCCTGGTTAGACCATAGATCCTGATATAGTCTTACTCAGTGATGCCACACCATTTGGTCGTGCACATCAGTTAGTGGAAGTGTTGTTTGCAGGAGGAGCAGAGTAGAGGACTGAGAGTGAGGTCATTCCACTGCAGTGCTCCAGGTCCAGCCACTACTGGGGCTCAGGGACGACCCAGGAGTGATCGGGACGACCTCCCAATGTCTCTGGACCACTTCCGCAAACCTAGTCGACCTACTGCCGGGACCACTGGCCATCAGGAGGATGGATGGTGTGATGGATACACTCTGCCTCACATTGTGTGGAGGAGGAATTGAACTCTGTCCAGATCACTCACACTCCTTCCGAGAAACCTGTTGACACGGTACACAGTCACACAACTCTTACTAACTACTCCAAACACTGACCCTACTCCCCTGCAGGCTGCCTATTACTCTGTGCAGATGCTGAGGACGGGGTTTGATCTGTTGTCTGGGTATATACTCGTGGGGCAAGAGGTTTGGTACACTGGATGAGAAGATTATGGCTGTTAAGAATCATCTATCTTGAGACAGTGGCCGGAGTACCAGGTGAGAAAGATCCATCTAGTTATGTCTGTGTGCCTAGGAAAGTCAACAAACCTTGACATTTAGTGAATAGCTAAATGTCAAGGTTTTCACAAGAATCAGTTAAAATCTGGTCCAGTTTCGAATCTTGACTCTAATGTGACCCAATACACTCTACATGTCACCAGGTATGATTGGTGCGATGGTGCGTCACTTGAAGTCTCTGCGGCGCATGACTCGGGACCATGGCTGGATACACACCTTGCTGGAGGAGGCAGAGAATGAGAGGATGCACCTCCTCACAGCTCTGGAGCTGAGGAGACCTGGACCTCTCTTCAAGATTTCCGTCATTGGAACACAGGGTGAGCCACTGAAAGAAAGTGCTTATGAGATTCCATGAAGTAAAGGTGTCCACTAGCCGACAGATCAAAGCAGCTCTAGATGAAACATCTTGGAATGTGGACCGACTCTCTGTACTGAAAGTGACTCTCAAGAAGAAGCTAGACACATTAATGGGACTCGATGTAGAGATCATCTAAAACACACCTGAGGATGGATTAGACGATGAGATTAAGCAGTCAGACGAATACGAATACCTTGGGGAAATGTACGTGTGGGAATGCAGTTGGATTGCTAACCGATGACATTGATGCTGAACGTTGTCCTAACTGGTTCGTCTGCCAATCACATCATGCATTGAACGAAAGGGGTGATGGGGCTACTAGTCTGTAGGTCGACATGTCATTGGAGTGTTTGCTGGGGTGATGGGGGACTAACTGCTGTTCACACTACATTGGGTTGGGTATTGTCAGGTCCACAGGACTCAGTAAAGTGTTGGATGAACATGACCACCACACATGCACTCCTTTCTGACACACGTGCCTCCGAGACCATGGCTTTAGATGCACAACACAACTTCCTACCATTCCGATCATATAAAATTATATAGAATTGCCCTAACAGCTGACATAGAGAAGATTATTGCAATCAATAGCTGTGACTTCCTGATCTGGGTAGATGACATACACAAGGAGAAACCTGGATCTAAAGTTTTCAGCTTTTTTAACAGAATAATCAAAGGTTTTAAATGCAATTCTCGAGAGCTGCAAAAACTAATCTACAATGCTGAAGGAATTGAACACATGGAGTCAGATGCCCCGCAATTGAGCTACTCAGACGAGACATTATGCCAAGGTAATGCTTGGGACTACGCCAACCAAGGAATTTGGCAAGCACAAAATAATTCTAGGAGTACCATGGAACACCAGGCAGTGACGTCTACTCTTCAATGTCTGAGAGTTGGCCCAACTTGCAAAGAAGTTTCAACCTATCAAAAGGAATCGTGTCAGTCTCATTGGTAAATCTCATTAATGGAAAATTCTACCACCTTTTTGGTCCCGGACACTTACATTTACGAGCGTGTCAACAGAGTCAAGAAAACTTAAAGAATCAGACGAAGGTTATTCATACCTAAGGGAAGAAGTCTGACCAGTTACTGATCGACTGATGTGTTCTATGTAGGACATTAAAGGGAACGCCTTTACACAGCCACCACAGCCACCACTACCCTACAGATCCAACTATTCTGGGGTAGATTTTACTTGTCCCCTAACCTGCGTCTCTGGCCGTCAGCAAGATATGGATCTGTCTCTTTATGTTCTTCGTAACTCGAGCCTTACAGCTAAATGCTAGATTAGTCTAGGGAACATTCCCAAGGTGCCTGAAGCAGTTTGCCAACGGCGTGTATCGTCATTATTCATTGTTACGTATCACATGATAAGAGAGAGAATTTGAGCAAGTGCGTGTGAGTTTCAAATGCTGAGATACGAATCTGTTAGCAGAGAGCCCAGTTTGAGTGTAGAATTGCATGAGTAAATTAGCAGTACTTTACAGAAAATGATCTGTTTTTAAAGGGGGCAATGATTGGGAACCTTCAGTGATGTTTATTATGTGAGACTGCAGTTTTTCCAATTTGTTAATGTAGAGAAGTTTTCCTTTTTCAGGAGTAAAGTTTATTACCATCTGTCTCAAAGTTTTACGACTTGGAGGGTTTATTTTAATCATGCGCGAGATATAATCAATCTATAATTCTGTACACATTGCACACTGGATAAAATTCCCGCAACAATATCCTGCACTTGATATCATATCTCGTACATACACTTTCCTATACAGATAAAAACAGCATCCTCCTACCATGCTATTATCATGTGACGTTGAAACTAATTATAATAATTATGAAAATAATAAATAATTATGTCTCACATTCAAGGAAGACGTCACAGGACTTCCTTGGAACAACGTGCATGCGCACCAACTGCGACATTCAACACTCGTCAACTGCAAAGTGTATTTACGTGCAAAGCAGATATGCTGCACATACGTACGTAGGTCCTGTGGCCACCATTGGTAACTTTCCAGCGATGTCTAACCCGTCCACGTCCAAACCCCAAACCAGCGCCGGGGCAGTACCGGACAGCATACGGCATGGGAAGTGGGTTGTATTTCGACCTATGGCTCTGCAAGAGAAAACTACTGTAGCTGTGTTACGTGTGGTTGTTGTGGTGCCTGAGCCCGGGTGTACAGAGTAAAGCCAAGTTAGATTACATTGTTAAAGACGTTCAACTCATGAAAGAGTGTGGGATGTGCAGGTTACGATTCACTGGTGTATTGCTGGGGATATATTTTCCTACACTTTACAAACACCATAATTGGCACTGGATGCCCTGTCATGGATTCCTTATCCCAATTAGAAGGATAACTCAACCATAGATTATGTACATTGAACATGAAAGTGAAGAAGGACTTTTTTAACTGCTAGAACCAAAGAGGGCACTTGAGACCTGCCTGAAGGAACAAAAGACAACCACCTGACGGGAAGAGGCCCATAGCACAACGAGCCTGTTTGGAGCACTAACACGAACCACAGTTGACAAGACATCAGGACGACAACAAACATGTTAAGCGCACCAAAGAAGTTGTACACATCATGTTGGCAAGCCCACAAACACTGGTGAACAGAGACCAGGGCACAACCAGTTTAAGATTGTTGTAAGCCAGTTGCAACATTGTGGTCGAAACGTGGCTCCCACAGCATAATATATAACCTGAGCTGCATAGTATAAACTGTGAAGGATCATGAGAAGGTTTTGCATGTATCGCTGTAAAAAATCAGCACGGACAGCTTTCTCAAGGTATCAACACACAGTCATTTCAATAATAGCTAAACACTCTAATTAACTCTTTGGGGCCGAGGACGCAAATATGCGTCATTGCGTGATAACGCGGAATGCATTCGCTCCGCGCGGTGGTAGGTACTCCGTGTGAACGCTTACCTCGACCTTTCGCGGGCTGCAGGAGTCGGCATCTTTCTCCAGCGTCTTTACTTGTGCTGAGAGGCTTTTTGGATATTACTTTGCCCACAAATAGACTAAAACTATGACCTTTTGGGTACAAACGTCATCATGACCAAACGCGCGGGCTTGCGCAGTACAGTCATTTCAATAATAGCTAAACACTCTAATTAAGGCTGAGGTATTGCAGCTAAAAGTTATGAGCAAGTTTGTGTAGGAAATTGTTTTTATGAACCCTTCAGATTGCTTCATAGCTGTCTCGTGTACTCTTACATCATCACTGCTTGTTTCAACCCCATGCTAAATACTTAAGTGTATTATTTGACCTCAGAGATAGGGACGACCCCTCCACAAAGTACATAATCGTTGGCCCCATAGTGTCCCTTGTTATGAGGTTTCACTGTAGTTTTATCTGCATGTCCTTTATTAATTAAGTGATTAAATTCACGTCATGCATGCGTTCATAGTTTGCATGGTATAGGTATGTAGCGCCCGGATGCATATAGCTAAGGCCCAATTGGCCGTAACTTTACATTTCCTAAGTGACTCATCAGTAAGATGATGCAAAGTAAAATCAAACCCCACAATACCCCGTGTGGGACACAGAACCAGAAAAGATATCACATCATTTGAAGTACCAGCATAATAGCTATTCCCGCTGTTGAACGTGAGGCATGTTGCTATTGGCCTGAGATACTCAGCCTTGCCTAGGAATTAATTAGGTGTAGGGAACAGAAAAAGCAAAGCTATGTGCCTGGTGCATCGATGTGTCTGTAGACCCATGCACAGCCGTAAGATTATATCGCCTTAGTTGCCCTGCAAACATGGTCAAAATGTGTACTGAACGCTTACATTACTTTTGTTCCAACTGTGAGTCAAAGTTGCTCAACTTGATTGTGGCAAATGGTTGCACTGTGTGCAGGCATATGCCCCTGTCCTACTGAATTAGCCAAATGGTATCGTTAAGTTTCTACGATGTTTTATATCACTTGATATCTGTAAGTCTGTAAGGTACAATCAGTTACTCAAGATAAATACAAAATATACTTAGAATTAGTTAAACACGCACTGATTTTTTACACTGGATGTTGGCACATTATGTCACATCCCCACAGCAAACTCACGCTGAAGTTCCTTTGCTAGTGCATTTTCATTGACTGATTGAGATTTCAAGACACTGACTAAGGTGTTCCATGTGAATGGAGGACTTGAAGATCGCTCCCATATGTCAAGAATAGCCATGAACTGTTCAAAACACTCGCGTTTGTCTCTACGAACTGCATCAATTGCTCCCATTCTAATCTCCAGCTGAATAGCAACTTTCATCCATTTTCCTGGAATGATGGCTGCCACACGATTCGCCAAATCACTCATTTTTGGTGATGACATATGCTTGTATGCTGTTTGATCTGAAAATGAATAAAATAGTTTGATCCTGAATAGCTATGCATATACAACATGACTCTGCTTCATGAGGGAATTAAAACAGGAACTAAGCATGTTGGAATCATGTCACTTAATTAAAACCCTACTTTCTTGTTGTACTAATAGGAAAGCACACAAACACACTCTGCCTCACACCACCTAAAAACCCTGTGCGTGGACGAATATTCTGCTAACCTAGTACCTAGACATCTATCGACGGAGAAGGAATGCCAAAACCCTTGCATGCACATGACGTAATTCACACGTATATACGTATTCTGTGTAAAAAAGTCTGTGACATATCAGTGTATGTTTTCCCCTCACTGATCACTTACAACAGTGCGAATGAGCTACATTAAGCATCGGTGCTGTGTCCCAGGTTTACCATTTTGCGTTTGAAAGAAGTGCACGAAGACTTCTCAGCAACAAGACTAAGAACCTTCTACTTACGCTGTTTCCGCAGGAAAAGCTACTTGGCTCCAAACAGACTCATGGAAGGAAGGGAAAATATGCCGCAACTTCTCAGCAACAAGCATTTTAATATACATGTGTTAAATAAGCAAACAGCACTATCTCTTAGGCAAACAGCACCATAGCAAGTGATGGTCATGTGAAGGAAAAATATTTAACACACGTTTTTAGTTCCCTCAGAAAGCCAAGCTCCCTGTCTTTGTCTTAAATAAGGCATGCGCAGGCAGGTTTAAGTAAACCAGAATTCAATCCTGAATCGTTATAATGCGTGACGACGACTTATATAGGAACTGTTGCCCAGCTTACCGACTCCCCAAAAAATCAAGCCCATGTAATTGCGTTGGGGAGTACACAACACTTTCCCCAAGGCCCTGTACTGTTGTAAACTGATGCTACGACACCTTTGTATTTGGAACTCACCTATGCCACTAAGCCACACTGTCTGTCCAGGATTCAGTCTGTCAAAGGTATTTGAATTCTTGGAACATATCCATTTCTTGCCATTCTCGGATATACATGCAGTGTGTAGTTCAGTGCTACAAGGTCCATTCTGGACAGGGCACAGGAAGGCGGGCACTGGGCGAGAGTTTTTGTGGTGAGTGTTCTTCAGACCTGCCTCGACTGCAGCAAACAGCTCCGACCTCACAGCATGGCAGTGCTCCACCAACTCCTCGCGATCCATCTTCCCGGTGTCCACATTCACACAGGCAACGAAGAAGGAAAAGTTGTCGATGTACATCACGGTGCCCGGTCTGTCGCGCTTTGAGAATGTGATGGAGTTGCGAGAGATCTGGCAGAGTTGACTGTCGGGTGTGTCTTTGTTGTGAGGAGTGGTGGATGGCTTGTGGACAACCTCCCAGTGGGCATGGGACTGGAGGTGGCACACACTGCAGCAGTAGGCCCCGGGAGGAGCCCAGCCAGTGGGGAACTCCACCACCAGAGCTGCTATCTCTGTGGCTGTGCAGCTGGCCAAGAATTGATTGACTCGAGATTCTGGGGTCATGCTCAGGACTGCGGGGAAGAAGTACTCGGTAGCTGACAAGGGACAAATGACGAGTAGCTTCTCAAGCAACAGTAGAAAGTCTCTTGGAGTAAAGATTCCTTTGACATAGTGAGACTTGAATTCTTCGAGAAACTTGAGAGTGAGGACACCTTTATCTCTGAAACACTGCCAGTCACCTGTCAATGCAAGATCGGCAGCTTTTGTCGGATCAGCTTCTGCAGCTTTCAGGTGGTACTGCTTCTCCACAAGCTTTGACAGCTTGTCTAGAGGAACTTGAGGATTGGTGAAGACGACTCCGGGTAGAATGTTCTTTTTGAACAGGAAAATGTTGAGCTTGTCAAAGAAGGTGAGAGCAGCATCGAGCTGTCCCTCAGAGAACCCCAGTGACTTGGAGACATGGAGGCACTCTTCTTTGCACAGGACATCTCTGCCAAGCTTGTGTGTTAGCGCTTCCAGGATCAGCTGGAGGATGAACCACCAGATTGGAATCTTGTGCTTTGCGGCACCTTTCTCGATGCTGGCTCTGATCTTGCTGGCCTCTTTCTTGTCGTCTTTGTTTGGTGCTTTTGTGTTGACTGGGAAAACCATCTCCTTTAATCCTTCATTGCGATAAACGACATCTTTTTTGAAGTGAGGAGAAGCAATTGCAGCAAAAATCTTGTTCTTTTCTTCTACTGTTTCTGTGCATTCTTCTTTTAAATCTCTGTGTGTCCCAACAGCAATGATCTTGGAGCGTTTTCCTCCTTCATGCTGGCCTCGAAGCATTGTTTTGAAGGCCTGTGCAGTGGTGAGTGTGGCTCTCTGGCTGGGACCAACCTGCTTCCCTCTCTGGTAGAGGTCATTCAGAGGGTGTTCGTCAAGCTTCTCGCAGAGCCTGTGGACAAAGAGGGTGGCTGTGGTGTCACGTGTGAAAATCGGGATGAGGTCCCAGAAAGGTTGCTGGCCACCAGTGTCAGTCAGGTAGATCAACTCCATGTCCAGGAGACGACGTGATGATTTCCCACTACCCACCAGCCGAGTCAGCTTCCTGATCACTCCATCAATGACTGCCTTGCCCTCCTTTTCACCCGTTGAAGCTACACCCCCAACACTTGGTTTCTTCTCCTCATTCTTCTTCTCGCCGTTACCCTTCCCGTCCTCAACCTTCACCTCATTTCCCCCACTCATCTCCCCTTCCTCCTTCTCCCCATCTCCCTCCTCCTCTCCCTCCTTCTCTCCCTCTCCCTCTCCCTCCCCAACTACCAAGTCCGATAGAATTTTCTCCAACTCCTCCATTCCCTTTCCCTTGGCTCTGAGGTCTTCATACAGAATGGGAACTGCTTCTGCGACCATCTCTTGAAACTCTTTTGTGGAGATCTCATTCCACTCTCCTCCTTCCTTGCCGACTCGTATCACTCGAATTGCTCGCTCGGCACAGCCGGTGCTGTGTCTTTCTTTTGGAGGAGACTTACTGAGGAGGAGGTACATGACGCAGGTTTTGCCGACACCTGCAGGTCCCTCCACAATCACTTCCAGTAGTGTCACGTTCACATAGCCCTGCTTCATTGCTTCTCTCAGGAATGTTCTCGACTCTTCATCTACAGAATGCACCGTTGCCATGTATCAACAGCTCAGAATACACACACTGCTATGATCATTGTGATGTGCACGGATATAAAACATTTTTTTGAGAGAGGCTAACTATGAACGCCATTTTTTTCTAACTTGCTTACCTTACCCCTACCTGACAATACCATGCACATTAAATGCTAGTTTCCAATGTTTCATCTACAGAATGTAAAGAAAAGGTATGTTTCAGTACGTAAGGGCTATATTCAGAAATGTTACTAAAGATAGAACTAAACAATGGGTCCCAGTGCAAGAATACAATTATGTTTCAGTTTTTAGTAACAATTTTTAAATAAACTGCCACATTCCTTTTAAGATAACCCCTATCATCCTGATATATTATGCCTGATGTTGCCTGGCACCAGATTTCAAGCACTTGGTTCCTAGTTGCATGTTAGGCAAAATATCAACGTTATAGTATGGCAAAAAACTATTAAGTCTGATTAGCACTCTTCTTTTTGTCACAACTCGAGAAGCACTCTGCCCTACATTGGAGGCTTGGAACAGAGCAACAGAAGGCTGTCTGTACGTGAAACTTTTAGGCAAGGATTATAAATTTTTTATTCTTGCACAAGAGCTAAAAACAGTCTCCAAACAAAATAAGAAAAATTTTTACAAGCGAGGGTGTATAATTATTTCGGCGTCACTTTTGTGAATAAGGCCTTCACTTTAGAAAGTGTTCTGGATTTTAACTAAAAGTTTGAAGTGGCCCTTGCGAAATCTTCCTGCATATGTAGGAAAATCAGAGGGTGGTGCCCTACAAAAACCTTCCAATTCTTCCTACATGTGCAGGAATCTCCTGCAAATTGCACAAAGTGACCCTGATTTTGACAATATTTCCTGCACTTGGCCTATATTATACACAATAGGACTTCTTCTTTTGTTTGGAGCATGTTTATAGGCAAACTTTCAAGTCATGGGTCTCTTTGGACTGCTGGTGATAATGTGCACTCTCGCCAATCCAGACTGTTACGTAACTTGGAACACTCTTACTCATTGTTATGCAATCACCATTGTGCCTTTGTACACCACAAACATTACACCTGTATCTCTGTGTCTCTAGAACGTTCTAGAAGAATCACCTCGATGCATATAAGTCAGCGTTTCTGTGATTGTATTCACTCGGCAAATAATAATATTCTTGAAAGCCATCAGGTTATGGGCCCAGACTAAGGACCTAACAGTCAGTTACGCTCACAGATTGCTGCTGGAGAGTTCAAGAATGGCCGAGTCTAAGATCGTGGCAGTGGTGCCTTTGAACAGCACGAATTACTCCACGTGGAAGATACAATGCAAGATGGCATTGATCAAAGAGGGACTCTGGGGCATTGTCAAAGGAACAGAAAGAGCTCCTACTGAGAAGGCTGAGCAACAGGCAAGATTTGCAGCAAGGAGAGACAAAGCACTTGCGACCATCGTGTTGGCCATTGAACCAGGTCTGCTCTATGTAATTGGCGCTGACCCGACGGATCCAGTTAAAGTTTGGAAAGATCTAGCTGACCAATTTCAACGCAAGACGTGAGCTATTAAACTTGAGCTCAAACGGAAACTCTTTTCTATGAGGTTGGGTGAAGGGGGTTCGATGCAAGATCATATCAAGTCCATGACCTAAGTTTGCAATGAGCTATCTGCAATTGGTGACCCCATAAACAAGGAGGATTGTGTTGTCTATCTTCTGGCCAGTCTACCTGAGAGCGAGAGCTAACGGCCCTGGAAGCAAATGCCGAAGTTCCTCCACTAGCTGTGGTAACGGAGCAGCGCCTACTTCATGAAGAGGCTAAGGCTAAGAGTCGCTCGATGCAGCTGACTCAGGAAGGGGCACTGGTTGCCAGATCCAAGAAGAAGCCAACCTGCTACTTCTGTCATAAAGTGGGACACATCAAGAGAGACTGTGAGGAGTATGCAAAAGTCAAGGGTCAATCAGACAGAAAGGTAAAGGTTCAAACCAAACCAGCTCAAATCAAGAACAAAACCACAATGGGAGCATTCAAGGTTACCATCACGGCCGATGATGAAAACAGCTCTGACAGTGAGGGCTGCGGACTAGTGGCAGCACAGGCGTTGTCAGCTTGCCATACCACCCAGGAGCAGTGGATTCTAGACTCGAGCGACGTGCCACATGTGTAACAAGGAGTCAATGTTCACCGCTCTACAAACTCTACCCACTCCAATGAGTGTGATGCTTGGTGACGGTTGAAATCTTCAGGCCGTAGGACGCGGGAATGTGACTCTAACAATGAACTTACCGAAGGGGAAAGAGACCTGCACCCTTTACGACGTTCTCCTGGTATGGTACCAGACCTAGCGTACAACCTACTCAGCATAACCTCTGCTGCTAAGAAAGGCAAGGTAACCATCTTCACCGAGATGAGATGTGAAATCAGAGATTCCAAGTCCAAGCTCATAGCCTCTGGATACAGAGAAGGAAGTCTCTATTACCTTGACCAAGAAGGTGCCACTCACCAAGCGTGTCCAAGCTCCGATCACAACAGCTCCAAGGGAATGATTTGCCATCGACGGTTTGGTCATTTGGGAACTCAAGGAGTGCAAGTCCTGACAAGAAACAAAATGGTCAGTGGAATGGATCTAGAATGGAAACAGGAGACTGGCTTCTGCGAGTCCTGTGTGGAGGGGAAAGAAAAGTCACAGGTTGCCATTCCAACATCCCAGTGGGAAAAGGGCAGATCATCCACTCGAGCTGATACACAGTGATGTGTGTGGGAAGATTGGAACCTAATCACTCGGTGGAGGAGAATACTTCGTCACATTCATTGATGATCACCATGTGTGGGTCTATATCCTCAAGCACAAAGACTGGGTCTATATCCTCAAGCACAAAGACTGGGTCTATATCCTCAAGCACAAAGACTGGGTCTATATCCTCAAGCACAAAGACTTGGTCTATATCCTCAAGCACAAAGACTGGGTCTATATCCTCAAGCACAAAGACGAGGTATTTCGGCGATTCCAAGAGTGGAAAGCCCAGGTCGAGAAGTCGAGCGGAAGACAAATCAAGGCTCTTCGCTCTGACAATGGAGGTGAGTATAGTATAGAGTGAGGTGAGAATTCGAGTCGTACTTGACCAAAGAAGGAATCAAACATGAGCTGACAACACCCCATACTCCAGAACCAAATGGGGGTCGCCGAGTGATCGAAGGTGTACGAACCATGTTAGCTGACTCTCCAAGCTCCCACAAGATTCTGGGCAGAGGCCTTGTCAACAATTGTGTATCTCTGGAACCAGAGTCCCACCAAGGAGCTAGTGTCATGCCTCAAGAAGCATGGAGTAGTTCGAAGTCAGATGTACGTTTGCTTCGCATATTCGTATGCAGTGTATACTCTCATGTGCCTAAAGCTGAAAGACACAAACTTGACACCAAGACATGGAAGTGCGTACTGTTGGGGTATGGTACTAACCAGAAAGGGTATCGCCTATATGATCTTAGATGGATGAAAGTGATCTACAGCAGATATGTTGTCTTCGATGAAACCTCTATGCCCGGGGTTCAGAAGGAGGAGGAACTCCCTCCCAAATATGTGGAGCTCGAAGTCGAAGAGAAGCCTGTTACCGAGGAGTCGGTGACTCCAAATACTACAAGCAGTGTGGCTGAAGAGATATACCTGTGGATGAACCGTCAGGTGAAGAGTCAGCCTCAGCCAATGTGCCGTCAAATCAGACTCCAAATCAACGGAGGTCAACCAGAAACAGACGAAAACCTGACTGGTACAGCCACAACCTTACACTGCTTTCGACCGAACGACCAGACCCCACCACAGTAGACGAAGTCAATTCAAGTCCTGACAAACACAAGTGGAGAAGAGCCATGGAAAAAGAAATGGCATCTCTTCAATCGAATGAAGTCTGGGAGTTGATAGAGCCGCCACCAAATTGAAGGATCATTGGCAGCAAATGGGTTTTCAAGAGAAAAGGAAAAGTCGATGCAGATGGAGAAGTGGAGAGATACAAGGCCCGACTGGTTGCTCAAGGCTGCACTCAGAGGTTCGGTCTCGATTACGAAGAGACTTTCAGTCCCGTTGTTCACTTCGAATCCATAAGATCTGCTATAGCCTTGGGGGCCCAACACAAGTTGCAGCTACACCAGATGGACGTATCCACTGCCTTCCTCCATGGAGAACTCGCCGAAGAAGTGTACATGAAGCAACCCGAAGGGTTCATTGAGCAAGGGAAGGAACATCTGGTACGTCGACTCAACCGTAGCATATACGGTCTGAATCACCACGCTGTTGGAATCATGCATTGGACAACAGACTGAAGGAAATGGGATTCAAGCAAACTTCCGGAGACCCTTGCCTCTACGTTCATCTTGATTCAGAAGGAGAAATATTCCTCGTCGGTGTCTATATGGACGACATAATTCTCAGAGGGAAGAGCAACATCAAAATGAGTGTAGTGAAGAAGGAGCTGAGTCATAAGTTCGAGATGAAGATCTAGGACCACTCAACTATTCCCAAGTAGTAAAAGTCATTCATAAGCGAGAAAGTGGAGCGATATGGGTTGGACAACCAGTGTACGCAGAGAAGATCCTACAAAGATATGGTATGCAAGACTGGATACTCGGATGCAGACTGGGCTGGGGATGTTGGAGACAGAAAAACAACCTCTGGGTACATGTTCCATCTGGGGGGTGCTGCTATCAACTGGAAGAGCAGCAAACAGACCTGCGTGGCTCTATCGACTGCCGAGGCAGAGTACGTTGCACTGGCAGCTGCAGCCCAAGAAGCGATTTGGCTTCAGCAACTCATGGGAGACCTGTTAAACGAGAGCATCCGAGAAACAACAATCCTCGAGGACAACCAGTCTGCTGCTATATGTCGTGCGAAGAACCAGAGCATTCATGGACGCACCAAACATATAGACATGAAACATCACAAACACTCTTACTCATTGTTTTGCAATCACCATTGTGCCTTTGTACACCACAAACATTACACCTGTATCTCTGTGTCTCTAGAACGTTCTAGAAGAATCACCTCGATGCATATAGCCAAGTCAGTGTTTTTGTGATTGTATTCACTCGGCAAATAATATTCTTGAAAGCCATCATAGACATGTTTTTGCTAGCGCACTGAGGATTAACAAGGGATAAAGAGAGACATTAACTGGACAAGGCCGATAATCATTATTAACCCCATCCTACATCCTACAATTTTGTATGGAGGGCTTAAAGCACCCAAAGGTACAACAAAAATGGGTTGTAAAATAGCAATTTTTTTGTCTTTCCTTTCAATTCTGTCAGCCTTTCCTATATCCGACTTAATTTTGAACAGCTCTGAATACACACGCTACTATGATCATTATGATGTACACGGATATGAAAAACAATAATTTGGAAAGTGAACAGCAATTTTGTCTGACTTGCTACTACAATCCCTAGTTTCCAAGGTTATATCAGAATTTTGCATGTGTATGTTTTAGAGAGGCAAGAACCGCTGCAAGTTGGAGTAAACAGGCTACCTAAAACCCCACAGACTACCAGTATATACACTTGAACACTCAGCCCAGCTCAAGAGTGAGGCACAGCCATGACATTTGCACAAGTTCAATGTCTGCCAGTAAAACCGCATTCACCTGAGCCACGGAAGTGGTTGTGTAAACTGTTTATACAGGTACCATGTACTCTACTTATTGCCGAGCGCATTAGCGCGAGGCAACTACTCCAGGTTGTATTCCCGCTATATGTGTACGTACGTACGTGTGTGTCCTTCATGCTTAAGAATGTCAATTAGTCACGCTTAGGAATGCAATTAGTCACCAAAAGGAAATGTAACTTCCGTCATTCGTAGGAAGTCTAGCTTCCGCTGTGCGCACAGATTCGTAGGAAGTCTGGCTTCGCCCGCAGTCAGTAGAGCTCGCGCACGAGCGGCCTCAGTCAGACTATTTACGCATTGGGTGGCAGGCGCGAGGCAAAATATGCGCGTGCGCATTCCTAGTAAGGTTTAGAATGCAGTGAAGCATATCATCAGAATGGGAAGTTGAGGACTCCAATGGTATTAGTGCTTTTACAATTGGATGTAGTTGTGACAATTTTTCGATGGTTCAGGTGAAGTCAAATAGACTTCAGATGATGCCCTGTTGGTGAATGCCTAACTATGTTGTCAGTGAGATCAGTGGATTTTGTGGATCACAAGCTCCATCTGAACTATGGTTGGACATCCTCGCCTTGTGGCACGTGCATAGAGCTGCCAAAAATACATACATTCACCTTGTAAATTATAGGAAGTGGTTTGTTGTAATTAATGGCACAGGAAAACAGAAAGACACCTACAATCCTATTGTGAACGAAGATGAAACAGTGATCGTCATGGTAAGCACACTCCTACAGTTCCACTACATATCACGACCTTTGCACTCTGCTGAAAGGGAACACAATGTATAGACCAATCTTATTTCCCTCAAGTGTTTAGTAGCTTCTGCATGAACTCCCTCACAAATCATTTACACTACCTTCTTCTCCATCTCTGTCACTGTCATCATCACTGGCAGTGGTCTCCAGTTCCTGTTTCAATCTCTCAATCTTCTCCTCCAGCTCCTTATCACTCCTCTCCAGACCTCTCCTCATCCCCTCATCCTCACACCTCTCTAACTCTGACTGGAAGTGACTCTTCCACCCCTACACGAGATGAGAGGATAATCATAATCAAAGAAGGTGACACAGTGATTTGTGTACATAACATTAGATCCTCCATCACAGACTTTGACAACGTGGAGATTATCCACGTGAAAAAAAGGATAAGGAGTACTATAGAGCAAGTTGAAGGTTTAGTCAACAAGAGCTGCAGTATCATTTTACACCACTCCTCATAGAGCAGTAGCTATTCGTTGCAGTATATATACACCACATGCGAAATATAACATCGTGATCTTATGCAACAGTTCATTAAGCACTTCCGTGAACGTTCGGTTTCTGCGCACGCACTCGACAATGAGTCAGCACAACGAACAAATCGCTCAATAGTCACCAGACCCTTTTCCTCTCCTTAGGGCGGGGTCTGGGTATGAGACTAGTGCATGTTTAGAATTCTAGCTGCATGTGCATGCAAGAATTATTACTCTTAATCTTGAATCAACAACTTTGTCCCCAACATCAGAATCAGATGTGTGCATCAGTGTCAAAATGATTGTGTATAGGAAGGAGGGAAAACCTAAGCACAAACTACATACCTCTTTTCTGGAAATATCATCAGTGATCTCCTACAATGATAGGGGAGGAATAACACAGGTCAGAAAGTTTAAGTTAAACAATATAATAGCACTAAGCATTAATGGCGAGAGAGAGTCATAGAGTGAGGTACACGTAGTCCTAGCAACAAGCAGAACTATATGTAGTAGTTCTTTGGTCCAAAGTCACACTGTAGACGTGTACTTTTGGGTATTTTATAGCTCTCAAATGCATACCTCACTATTTTCTGCAATGTAAGTTCATGCATGCTTGTAGGCGTGGTTGTGAATGCTATTACTATGCACGAGTAGGAAGAATTCAAGGCACTGAAGTGTAAACCCTCAGTGCCAGCTCATGAACAATACTCATGCACATTAATTAAGCACCGCGCTAACTGATGTGTCCTCTGGAGGCCATAGCACATGGTCTAACCTGTCAACAAGTTTCCTGCTCAAAAACAGAGTGTAGTGCCGGAATAAGTGTAGGAAGACACACAGACAGACAAACAAACACAACCAAGTACTGTGTATACTGCATAATAATCTCTTGACCATGAATTCCTATAGTTAATTCTTATTCTGCTTGTGGCATACCTTAACTCTGTTCTGCCTCCTTAGTTTCTTTGAAACCTGTGGTACAAAACAGAGTATTAAAAACTACATTAAAGACCCAATTACACACTGTACAACAGACGTTAGCACAAAACTGTGTGTTTGAATGTAGGTGACGGCATATGGCATGTTATAGAGGTCAATAATGAGCATGCCAGTTCCTACAACGGTTTAGCATCAACACTATTCACCTCATCACACTCTCTTGTCTCCTTCTCCAGTTCTTTCCTCTTCTCCTCATCTTTACACTTCTTCAACTCTAACTGTGAGAAGATAAAAACTTAAGTCTTGTTTACAAAGTACTGGTAGGAGCTGTGGTGTGTGCCGTAGAGTTGTGTAGTTTTCCGCAATGTAAACAGTGGGTCAAGTTCACAATGTTACTGACAGACAGGAATAAAATCTGCAATTATCACTAGCGGCTAGGGTTAACAGACTGTTGCAGTTCTGCAAATTTTCATTCACAAAGACCAGATACCAGGTTACGCTTACATGTATTAAATCTCAAGTTATGATCAACTCACTGCATGTCGACAGGTTACGTATAAGCCTTCATTACTAACGGTATGGCAAAAAAGCCTCAAAGCCAAGGATCAAACTAGACACATCACAACAGTGCATCACACATCAAGATGAAATAATTAACTTGCAGACTCGCAAGTGTATAGTAATTATATACCCATGTTTAAAAGTGTGCAGTGATTATGAGAACTGCCAGAGATGCAAGAGCAGAATATTAATCAAAACATGTATTTGCATACGTAGCTGAACTGTCGTCTTCACTCAACTAAACCCACAGCAGAGGGAAAGAAGAGTCAAAAGACGAGGAGATGCTCAGACTTAGCTGTTGTGTAGTAGAACATATTATGGCCTAATAGAGCTACACAAAAGTGGACACTAGCAGCCCTGATAACATATGACTGGGGAATAAGGATAGGAAGTGACCACTGACAGTAGTACTTCGAGGTAATGGGGAAGACCAGCTTTGGTTATGGAGTTTGACACCAACATAGTTACTTTGCCACCCACACTTTCCAAACCAAGTAATGGACATGGTTACACTTGAACGACTTCACACGGCTGTATATACGTACATACCAGTATATTCTGCAATATTTCCAGTGCCTCTGTCTCCTAGAGGTGTAACAGAAGAAAGTACATTAGTAACGAAATTTGGACACAATAAAGTAACCTCTGCATCCAAGTATGATGGTGTGTATGTGAGTCATGGCTTTGGTGCATGTGGAAACGTAATGAAAACATCTTTATGTAGCCTTATTGGTGTCAACTAGTACAAGGAAATTTTTAAATTGGTATATACAATGGCAAATAGCGATCAACGTACAAAAAATATTGATACTTACCTCATCATACTTTTTCAACTCTCCTCAGTTCTCTCCTCTTCTCCTCATCTTACACTCACTCAACTCTGACTGCAACCCCCTCTCTTCTCCTACATGTCATGACAGAGACAAGAGAATGCTGAAGAACACAGAGTTCAAACATCACTATCATTACTGAGTGCATAATGGGAGCTTGCAACAGAGCAAAATAATTTGCGAGGTTTTAAAAATTGTTTTTCATCAAATGCGGGGCTGAGTAAAACAACCTGCGGAATCTATCAGCCCTTAGTCCAAAACAGTTCGAACAGTGTCACAACGACAGTGTCCATGTGTTATGTGCTCAATACAAGAATAGGGCAGCCGTTTCATGTCAGTATTCCATTGCGCTAATGGGCTATTAAAAATTCGAGGCGGATACGGTAATCAGAAACCTCGTTTATGGGCCAAACATGGTATAACGGCAACTAGTTAAAGCAAACGGTCGGCAGTGTTTACCCACAGGTAATATTCCAAACAGGGTGCTTATGAAATATTAATTACACCAGATTTTTGGTGAAAAAACTATTGTACTCACATATTGGAAAAATCAAAGAAGGGTACACGAATCAGTGGTAGGGATTTTTCAATAATGCGGAGCGAAGCGCGCACCAGTGTTATAATGCTGCGGGAAATACTGGGTCGTTACATAATAACATTGATACTTACTCATCATACTCTTTTAAATATCCCCGGACAGTTCTCTCTATTCTCCTCATCTTTACACTGCCTCAACTCTAAAGCAACATCTACTTCATCTCCTACATGTCATGACAGAGGAAAAGGGATGTTGAAGAACACAGAGTTTAACCATCACTTCATTACTGAGTGCATAAAATGGAGCTTTGCACAGAGCACAAATTCTAAATTTAAAAATTGTTCTCAAAAGGAGGGGCTTTCTTTACAAAACAAACCTGCGAAAATTAGAATTCCTATTCCCTAGCTCACCACCTTCGAAATAGTTCACAACGACCTGTATACATGTCCTGTTTGCTGTGCTTCAATACAAGAATAGGGCAGCAGAATCACTTACTTTAGTGCCCTTGCACTAATGAGTGCTAGAAATGTGGACGTGCCAGGTTTAAAACAACATAATAGATATTTTAACCATGCTAAAGATTGCCAATACAACCAGGCACACTGGCATCATGCCAAAAAGACTTGTACCAAGGGTGTGGTTCCCATTGGTGGTATTAGGGAGTCTGTAACACATCTGGACTCTAATCAACCAACTATGAGGGATCATGTGTAGAGACGTTGCAGTGTGCTTCTGCTCATCTACGGACATGGAAATGCTGTGGTAGGCAGAAGCCAGGCTGATGTGACAGACTGGGCCAGGGCTTTAGACATTGTACGCGCAGGAGAGTTGGGGAAAAGCCACAGTATACCCTGCATGTCTTTTGATTTCTGGGAGATGAGAAACAACTGGAGGCCTGACGGATGAGCCTATGTTATAGCATCGCTTGTCTAGTTCTGCCAGCCACCAAATGGCACTACAGTGTGACGGGTCTCCAGACACTGTAGGGCGTTATACAATGTGCCTGGGAAGTGGATACTACATTCAGGTATAACCCCGGCGCGCATGCGCAAGCGGGGGGTTACAGTAGGTACGCCTCGGCGCGCATGCGCAGCGAGGGCTACTGTAGTTGGGTTTGTCTGTGTGTCTGTTACTCTCAATCTCCACTCTCGAATGTCTGTTCGTCTCACCAACGATACGACCTACTTCAACGGCAAGGAAGGCTCATGAATTCGAACGGTTTTGCCTCTGCAAAATGCTTCGTGCAAAGCTAGAGCGCTTCGCCATTTTACGCTAATGCTCGTCGGCCATTTTTATCGCTGCGGAAAATTGCATGCGCTTATATTTGAACAGGCTCGGGTCCGCTTGCTCTGTGTATCTGAAGGCACGAGAAGTCACAACGAAGGGCGTGTATCGACTCCACATGCAATCTACTACTGTAGCTAGCCCGTGTACAGACGTACTAGCGGAGACCACGCAGTATTACTACATATATAGCAGCCCAACCATAAATTAGCGGTATTACGCGCATGCCCAGTTCGCCGAGGTTGCAGTATGGAATTTAATAGTAGATTAAATGGGCATGAAGCAGGTCACAATGTTCGAGGAAGGCCGCATGCGCAAAGGCGTCAGCCTCGTGGTCTTAGTCAGCACTATTTCCTAGCATATCCGTGAGGCAGACAGGTAGCTGAGCAATTTTCACGCAATTTTCACGGCTGGATCAGGGAGATGGCATCGTCGGGTGCACCAGTTACGTCCAGCGGGACCACGAGCACGACAACGCCGGGATCCGGTTCTACATCGACGATCCTCACCTCCGGTCGGCCGCCTACTACCTCCTCAACGGCACCAGCAGCTGTTTCCGCCACCTCGTTCCAGTCGATGCTGGACCAGGCGGTCCAGGCCGCCGTTTCCAGCTCGCTGCCCCGCATCATGGCGTCCGTGGACGCACGCATACAGGCAGCGGTCGCGGCGAGTGCAGGAGGGAGCACCTTCACGACGCCAGGGACTCCAGCGTCCTCTGTGGGTAGGTTCCCCTTTAGAAACTCTAGGGTAGCCCAGTCCCTCTCCACCCTCCATTCCCCGGAATGTGACATATGCGGATGAACGGAGGGCTACCCTGGGTTAGTCTGGGCATTCCAATATAGTTATAGTACGGCAGTGTGTAGGGCTCGCTCAGCACCTGCCAGAATAGACGGGACCAAGCTCGGGGCAAAATACAGTGGCACAGGTTGCAGGTTGCTAAGCAATCAAAGCCTGCCTTATCAGTCATGTCCACCTGCCATTCCACTCCAGCAAGGCGTGGCAGGGGGCGGGGCTGTGCATACCATACTTACTCAGCTGGGCTGATAAGCCCACCATATCACCTGCTGGCCTAAAGCAGACTATAAACCAAGCTCCTGGGGGCGTGTCATGGAAGGCAGCCTGGCTCTGCATCTGAAGTAGACGCTGGCCTGGAACAAGGGCCTCAAGCCAGGGCAGAGCTGGTGACAGACTACTGCAGACCAAGCTCCCCAAAGGGGGCAGTGCTGGTCTAAGCTATACACGGCCCCTCGGACCTTGAGGGCGGTCAGTGCCACAGCAATCCAAAGCTCTTGGGCTCAAAGCCATGCTCTAGCAGCGCACGGCTGCATTTGGGGGCACTACTGCAGTGTAACGGCAGACCAGCACTATAGTCAAAGGTCGGCCAAACCCCACTCACTCGGGCTGCAGCGCCTTAAGTACGGCACATACCATCCTCAGAAGTCCTTACTGCCCCCCCTTATTCCCATCCTGTAGGGGCAAGAGCAGGAGGACTGGGCACCATGCCCACTAGTGGCACTTTGGGCAGCTTGGGGCTTGGGAGCTTCCCAAGTACCAGCTCCACTCCCCTGCAGCCATCCTCAGCTGGTACAGCGGGACTTCCAGTCCATGGCGCAATAACTACACCAGCCTCCACCACACTCTCAAGTATACTGGCGGGTGGAATGCAACCAGCAGCCATGGGTGTAGCTATGGCAGGAGCAGCGGGCAGTTCCAAAGCAATGGACACCATTGTGGTGGCCCCAGGAGTCCCGGCCTTAAAGCGGTCCCTGGTGGACTTGATCCTGGCGGGAAGATTCACAGACCTAGGGGAACTTCCCCCGGCCAGAGGCTTTGGTAAAACTCCAGCGGCCCTATCGAGTGACGTAGAGGGCAAAATTGTACTGCTCCAGGCAGGGGACTATGTCCACTCCAAGAAGCACATCCCCGACCTTGCTACGTGGATGCAGTGCTTCGCGATATACTCGGCGGTCCTGCTAACCAAACATCCAGAAAGGGCCCAATCATTGCTGATGTACGCGGCCATAATCGCACGTCTGAGCAAGAAGTTTCGCTGGCCAGCTTGGATAATATATGACCAGTATTTTCGCCAAGAGGCAGCAGACACTGGCAGGACAGACTGGTCGAAGATTGACAGCAGCATCCATACCCAGTGCTTCACGGGGATGTCGCTGAGCGCGGAGGGTTGGTGCTCCATCTGCACGTCCATGGACCACACCAAACATACGTGCCCCTACCGCTCCCAAGACGAACACCTCGGTTCAAAGAGGCCACTGGCAAAGCCGGGGCCCCCATCAAAGAAACCTCGCCCACACTTTCACTCAGAAGAGGCGTGCCGCAAATGGAACAAGTACCACTACCTGAGCTGCCCTCATGGGGAGTCATGTGCATATACCCATGAGTGCTCGATCTGCCGGGCGACGGATCATGGGGCGCTGAAGTGTCCTAAGGCGAAGTCTCCACCAAAACCCAGACAACAGTAACCAGGCAGGACGCAAAGACCAGACATCAGAGCATTTATCCTGCATTTATTTACCCCATTACTCAATGGCCGGTTGGCGGCCCCGATATTGCTATCTGGGGGCTATCACGAGCGCAGGCGATGCATGCCAAGCGGATGACAATCCCTAGTATATACAGAGAGGGGGCGTGGACTTGACATTTATTACACATGGCTGCTATCCACTCTAGGTCAGGGAGGCCCCTCATACATCAAACAGCTCGAGGGGCTGCAAGCCGGCAAGCCCACCAGAGCAGTGAGCCTGCCTGCAGCAATGGTGGAGATAACCACCCCACTCATCAGTGAGGTATGGGAGACAGAGCTGGCGAACCATCCCGACCGTGCCTTTGCAGCCTACGTGGTAAATGGCATAAAGAGGGGCTTCCGCATTGGCTACGACCACTCTAAGAGCTTGTCTAGCTGCTCGACCAACATGGTGTCCGCCCTTCAGCACCCAGATGTGGTCGGAGACTATCTCCAACAGGAGGTACTGCTGAACCGCATGGTGGTGGTTTCTCCATCACAAGCTCCTAGCATTCAGTGTCACATAAGCCCATTCGGAGTAATCCCAAAGAGAGCTAAGCCAGGAAAATGGCGCCTGATCGTAGACTTGTCCTCACCCAGCAATGCCAGTGTAAATGATGGCATAGACAGGGACATGTGCAGCGTGTCCTACATAACAGT